CGTGCTAAGAAGAAAACAGCGTTATAATTCTGTGAGAACAGAACGTCTAATGCTTGTCTTAACGGTAGGGATCTACAAAAGACCCTGTGAAATAACATAGGAAAAATTTTGTCGTCGCCGCCGCCGCCGCCGCCGATCAAATGATCGGCTAACACCTCTATTTAAGAATATGTGGATTTTTTCACGAGAAATTCACCGAAACTATTTTTTCGCTATTTGCATAAATTAAGAACTGCTGTTTCGATGTAAGGTGAGCAATATTATTGGAACTCGTATAAAATTTTGAGTAGATATTTAGTTAGCACTTACCTACGAAAATAATGATGTACAAAAAATATGCCAAGATGCGTACTTTTACTCGATAGCTTGACACTAGCATTGTGACAACTATCATATGATACGGCACAGAGATGGTTTTGTAGAGCGCGCATCATATGGTCGAATAGATCTCAATAAAATCTATTTGTTTGTGTTTAAAATAGCTCAAAAAAGTTGAATGAGTGATCCGCTTTAGAAAAAAAAACAGATGTTTAAGGGAAAAGAGTCAAATGTATTGTAATGTCAACAAAATATTAGAAAGTGGTTCAATCAAAAGAACGATAGATAATATCATCAAGATTTATCTACTATTCACCATTAAAAAGTATCTAATGGTTTTTTTAAGATATTTTTCTGATTCCGTGTGAAACAATTTGAAAACAGGGAAAATACGGCAATTAGAACGATGAGCGTTTTCACTTGGGTGTAAACAATGACTGTAAGGGATATCATTTATCACTGTTTTTCTCCATTTTAAGACGCTTCGTAACCGTTCATTCGCACGACAGATATTTTTGAGTTGTTTACGTGCAATCAATTACGAGCAGTTCTATTCGATCTGGGAGGTCACGTAAACTGGAAGTTTTATTTGTTTTTTTTTTGTGATATTAATTTCGACATATTACTTACAATATCAATTTGGATTTAAGTTCAACAATAAAAGATAATTCTCTTTTCGTTTAGATTTATTATTCATCAATTATATGTATAAATCAATAAAAATAAAGCACACTTTAATCTGCTAATTTTAAATCGGTCGGTTGTCTGGAAGGATAACAGTAGGTGTAGATGCCTCAGAATGTTTAAACAATGTGTCGTACCTCAATGTAACTCCAGTGTGATTTCATCGGATTCTAGATATTTCCGACATTTTCAGCTGTCAGATCCAACATTAGACAGTTTCCTTCCATAGTACTTTTCCAAGAAGTTTGATAATTTTTGAGAGAATCCTCTTGAGAGTTATCAGAATGTTTCGAATATCCTATAGAATTCAAGCTTAAGATTCTTCCATCTAGTGGATATCAAGATTTATCAAGTACTCATGTAGATTAACATGTACATAAATATCATTGCTATGAAATAGATCAAGATAAATTCAGATCATATTAGCTAAAAACAGTTCGTCAATGAATCGATGATTACTGATCATGTGTATCAAAAACCAGATATTCATTCTAGTACAAGCAGAACTTTGACTATGTATCCATGTGATAGCTACTAAGAAACTATCGCCAGTAGACCGATTGATATAATGTGTACTCCCATGTCTTCGAAATTGCTAAAAACTTGATGATGAATCATGATATGGAAACGATAATTGTGAGCTGAAATGCAATAAGTTGTCAATTTTTTCGATGATTTTTGAGATAAATTGATGGTTGTCCTTCATTATATTCATAATAGAGGGTGTTTCGTAAGTTTTGAGGTGCTTTAAAATTAGTTTATATGTAGATAGAAAATAATCCCTAATCAAATGTTTTTTACATGAGACTTGAGTACTCATGTTAATCTTTCAAATGACATGCTGTTGAAGAATATCTTCTCTTGTAATAATAAAAATAAAAACATAAAAAATGTCACGATAAATTTTTCACAATCGATTCAGAGGATATTTTATTTGAGAACAAAAACGAAAAACAGTATTTTATAAATACATATATTAATCTGATTATACAAAAACCTCATTTGACTATCACACATTTGTTGTTCACTATGTTTTATTAATTCGCTAAATATTTTAGAAATTTTATCAATCATTACAAGTTATTTATATTATTTTTTGTTCAATGTAGTATTATATGTTGTTTAAAACTTGAAATCTGTTCTCCTAGTAATGGTTTTCTTTAATATTCTTTATACACTTTCAGTAGGTCATACGTCAGCAACTTTCTCGTTATCTTCTTAAGATAAAACTTAATTATGAAATAATTCAGCAATAATTTTAAATACAATTTATATTCTTTATATTTCATTTTACACGCAACGTTTTCTTAATACATTTAACTAGTGGATCGCGATGAGCGCAGAATAAACGAATAAGATGAATAATTATTGGTTTCTACTACACTATATTTTCTGTAGAATTGTTCAGCACTTTATTAAAAAAAAATCACGATGATTGATTAAACAAAATTTGCCTCACATATTTATATTTATATTTTTATTATTTCAAGAGAAGATATTATTCAATAATATATTATGTGAAAGATTGACACAAGTACTCACATCTTACATAACAAACATTTGGTTAGGGATTATTTCCTGTCTGCATATAAACTAATTTTGTGATGTCTCAAGTAGTACAATATATCCTGTAGACGTGACGTTATTCATGCAATCTCGATTCTACTGTTATACTGAGAAGTTTCTCTTACTGCTTTATGATGATGAGTATTTTTTATTCTACATGAATAAAATATGCAAGAAAAATTTTTAAAAAATGTATGTGACATGTAATTCTACATATTTAAATGAGAATATAATCAAAAAATGAAACAAAACGTTAATATATTCAAATTGATAATTTAAATTGATTTTTTCCTTGACATCACTCGATGTATATTTATTTATTTTTTTTTTAAATAAATAAATTATATAAAACAGTAATCTGAAATTATCTACATTATCAAAAACACCTTTTGGTGTAAATGAGTGTGAATGCGAAATTTAGTTTGATCGCTTTCAAATTTGATCAATCTCATTCATGACATAGTAGTGACATTCATGATCAAATATAGTTTTTCTTTTAGTTTCAAATCTCTATCATTATAATAATCATTTATTGAAATTAATAATTAAACTCGATTTATTGATCGCCAATCACCGAAAATTCGTGTCTGTGCCATAATCACCGTAAAATCTGATTTTTGACGAAATACAAGCAATCACAATGTTACCCTTACATTTTTTAAAAATCACCAAAATCGTCACAGTCTTCATAACATGGGCTATACCATCGTTTTTTTTTTGTTTTAGACGTAGTGTGTTGTATGAAAACGGATGAATAGTATTGAAGTCTGTTAAAACTGACAGAATTCAGTCGATTTCGGTATATTCTGATATAATGTTGATGCGTATGAGCCGTCTGCACTAGTCGCAGAGTAATTAGTTAAAAACAATATTCTGAAACTGTTTTATTCTAGGTTAATTTGAATTCTTTTTAATAAATAATTCGAATTTGGATAGAAAACACTCTCTGCAATAGTTTATAGCTGGAACTGAAAAATGTAAGCGCTACCGTCAATTCTTATGAGTAGTAACATGGTATACTCGGGGTAGTGTAAACAAACGTGCGACATGGGATATGAATTACAGGGAGTCTCAATGGAAATTTTTTCTACTATTTATTTTTATTTAAGGCTACTGAAGTTTTGATGTTGTTTTTTTTTTGAATAATTGATATACAGCAAAGAAGTACAGACTTTACTGCCTACTTTAATATATTTATCATGAGTAAAACATAAAGTACAGAGAAAAAAAACTACATTACACAAAAAAGATGATATTTTGTTTCTATTGCAATATAGAATAAGATTCAACCGAGTTTTTGTCTCTCCTTTTTCTTGTACATGTGAACATTTATAATTTCTACTAGTACCTAATAATTTGTTTAAATACAAAGATTGATAAAAATGAATTGTTGAATAGTCAGATAATAGTTGAGGTTATATAAATGCTTATATGTACAACAATAGAGAAGGGGCAAAAGAATCTATTTTGTCTTACTGTATATTGTAGTAAAAAAACATGCCATTGTTTTATTGTGACGTGTTTCTTTGTTCTCAGTACTTTATATTTTATTCATGATAAATATATCCATGAAAAATTATCGGGGAGATTTATTTGAAGTACACTATATATCTATAATTATTTTAACTTAATGAACCTTCACACAATGATATAAGCAAAACAGTCATATGTCAATTTCGGATATAATAACTACGTCAAAGTATATATGATTAATGATGTCCATGACTGTTATAGTTTTAATATAAAGAAACAGAAATTATATCAATGAGAAACGATATATTGTTCGTTACATTTAGCCAATGAGACGATAATCTGCAATAAATATAATCATCATGTCTTCAACATATCAAACAGACAGACGATAGATAGACATGCAGGGTCGAAATTAAATCAAATGATTTGCACAATTACCTTGATCATTTTTTCTCACTTACTCTTCCTTTACTTTTTTCAAGCGAACATATGAGAAGAAGAAGAAGAATCTACATAAAATGTAAGCTTACTAAATAATGTTTGATATGCATTTCTGTTTTTATTTTTATACATTCTTTCTTTCTTGGTAAGGCTATGAATATTTTTGTTCTAATCAACCGTCTTGTACTTTTTTTTGCAAGGGGTTTTCTCCTCCTCCATAAAAAACGAAGAATCAGTCAGCCGTGTTGACAATGATACGGAGTCGTTGTTGATGATTATGCATCCTCCAACATGAATAAATGTGACGTCTATTAACGATCGATAAAGGAATAACAACAAAATCGAGAAGGATAGTCGACACATACCATCGTTGTATATGCAATATACATAGAAAAAGAGTGTGAAAGAAAACAGCAACAGTTGTAATTTCGCTTTCTACAAATCCTATCGAACGTGCTTGTACGCTGGAGGCAAAAAGAAAAGAAAGAGAAGAAAAACTGATTTGCTTTAATTAGCATATGGGCTGCAACAACGGTAAGCAAAATAATGAGAAGGGAAATAATAAGAGACAATCACCGCTCAAAAAAGTATTACATTTTCAATCACGTCGAAAGTCCAATGCACCACGCCCAGTAAGTTATGCAGGAACCGATCAACATCATGAACAACATAATCGTTCAGTTCGACCATTATCTATGTTTGATGCTTTACCATTTTTTGATTTAGAAATAAGTGAGATTAGTCATTTGATTAATTTATTAGATAAAATGTTTTGCATTTTTTTATCGATTAAAGAAAGACCAAATTATGATGTGGATAATCAAAATCAGGCAACATCTGAGAGAAATACGTCGTCTCATTTTACAACAATACGATCATCGGAAACAAATGAATCAATAACAACAGGTAATACAAGATATTTAATACGATTCAAAGTAAAACTATTATATTTTTTGATCATATCAGGTAATTCTTTCAACCAAGCAACTGTTATTCTACGCTATGAGCAAAGATGTCAAACAGATGACGATTTATTTATCATCAACAAGTAGGTAGGTCTAATATTTATATACAAACATGAATATTTATCGTGTTTATCAATTTAAATAAATAGATCAAATCAATCTTTATTAGACAGAAATGACAATGATAATAACTCATTTGATGAAAATAATTGGAAATGTCACACACCATTAACACTTGAAAAAATTCGTACAATGCCTATTCTAAAAGATATAGTATATCAATATGTTAATGAAGAACTTTTTCATATATTAAATCGTTTACTTCGATTTGAAAAAGATGATGAAAATGAAGAATTTCTTGAATGGTTTTTTGATGAACTTGAATATTTAATGCATTCATTAGATGATAATAAACAATATGAACATAAATCTTTACTTTTAAGTTCAATAGAACAAGATCGTTATGATTGTATGAAATATCTTTTAGAACATCAATTATTAACAAGTAAACTTGATATAAATAGAATTAATGATCAAGGTCGTCATTGTTTATTAATGCTTGCACATAAAAATGGTCCTATTGATCCAATAAAATATTTATTAACACATCATCTATCATGTCTTGATACGAATAAACTTGATTTAAATAAATTTAGTTCATTACATCATGCATGTCGACATTTTAATTTACAGCTATGTGAATTATTACTTCCACATACAAGTAAAAAATTATTACAAATGGAAAATTCTGAATTACATACACCACTTGATTATTGGATTGAATGTTTATGTTCATTAAAAAAATTAAAACCAACAAACATTCAACATCATTCCGGCATATTACGTCTTGATTATTTACTTAATGATACTGATTATCGTTCGAATATTTTATTTTTTCAAAAAATTATTAATCATGGTGGACAATTAACAAAAATTCCAATACGTTATATGCGTTCGGTTTTACCAATTTTAACATTTGAACAAAAATTATCTTATGTTGATCATCATATTAGTCTTTGTTGTACTTTATATAAAAATCGTTTATCAACATTAATACGTGATTATGATAATTTAAAAATAAGTATACAAGCAGGAGAAATTTTAACAGAATTTATTTATGCATTAGGAACTGTACAACTTGAAGTACAAAATCGTATAGCAGCACATTCTTATACAAGTATTTATGAAACAGCTATACAAAGTATTTATCGTGAAAATAATTCAGAAAATTCTAATAATCAATTAAAATTTAAAGAACATAATGCTTTACAATCAACTATGCGTATACTTTATTTTAAATTTTTTCGTTTATTTCAATGTATTTATAATAATCCAGATGTTAGTGTAAAAAAATTTCATTTTGAACATATATTTCGTCGTGTTTGGGTTTATTGGAAAGAACCTGTAAAAGCATTTATTGTACAATGTAAAGAAAAAAATTCATCGTTAAAATCTATTTGTCGAATATTATTATTTAAACATTTAATTCATTATCCAGCTGATATTCAACATTTACCCATTAATTTATCTTTAAAACAATTCGTTGCATTTGATAATCCGTTTTTTATTATAGAAAGAAAATATTAAATTAAATTAAATATTTACTGCTATTTTCTCATTATTTTTATTTTTTCATACTTTTACTATAAATAAAAAGATATCGATGAGTTATAAATTTATTACTATTTTCAAGGTATTGCAAATCTGATTACTCTTATAATCATAGTAATCATGATTAATTAGTTAGTTAAGCAGAGGGTGCATAAGGGTCTCATACAGGCAATAACAAATTTAACACAATCTTGATAGTTTTACTGGGTAGTAAAGAATAATATTTAATAATTGGGAGGATGTACATTCCTACCCATTTTCGAGGCCTTTGCGTAGGAGAAGTATTTTGTATGTTTTTTATATTTAAAAGGTTTTATCAGGCACTTTCATTTTATTTCACCATCGTTTCGCTATGAACATTCAATGTCATCAAAAATCACGTCACTTTTGGTGGTTAATCGCGGATCATCTAGCCATTTCCATGAACAGTGAATATTATTTTATTAAAAAACAAACTCTTTTTGTATTAGTTAATACGGATGAAGAAAAAGAAATCATCTCTCGCTTCAATTACAAGAAACATATATGAGCACGATGGTAAACGACGGTGGTATACACATCGAGACATAGGTACCATCGTAGATCTAAATACTGCGACCAGATCAGATCATCGGAAATATTAGTTGAATAATTGCAATTTTGATGACATAGAATAAGATAATGATTGAAAATCAGTAGACTTTCTATAGAATAATGATACAAAGGTTTCTCTCTTCTATTAAATATAGTAAATAAAACTTTTTTTCGTCTGTTTAACGACGAAAATGGAATGAAAACAAAATAATAAAAAGTTTAATAAGATTCAATAAATATGACTTGCTCAAATGAAATTACAATCAATTTTTTGATGTTAAAGATGAGCAACTCTGAAACAATTGACAGAAAAAATATTTCCCGTGAATTAAGATAAGTTGAAACACAAATGTTGAATTCATATCAAATACTACGATCCATTGATTTTTGTTTTTCCTATTTAAATATTAATCAAAAGCAATCATTCAGAACCTAGCTCGTACTTCAGAGAATCGAAGTTTTGCTTTTTCCTCCTTCGAGTCCAGCTCATTGAGACCTTTACTATTTACACCCATACTTTACAGTTATATTCTGTCCTCATAGCAATCTATGCTGTCATGAGTCTAACATATATTGGCAACTTTTATAATTGTTATCATTAGTTCATAATCTTTTCTAATATAGTTTAGATCATTCTTGATAGATTGAACAGTAGTTTTTATGTTTATTCTATTGAATAAACGGGTATTTTTATATACATCATAAATCAAAGATTTAAACATATCAATTCTGTCACATCTGTCTCAACTTATTATTAATAATATAATACATATATGAATGTCAAACTTTACGTTGCTCTCAATTATCGATGCTATAAAAAAAAATATGTACATAGTGTATAGTATATCTTATTTTAGCAGATGTCACTCAATATCAATACACTGCTTACTGAGGCAAGCTGTACAAGAAATATGGCGAAGACGAACGAAAATATATTATTAAGGCACGACTCAACCATTTCTTGTTCTTTTCAATTAACCAAAAAAAAATAAATAGAGCCTAGTCATATAGAACGAACGAGAATGAAAAAAGGTTCAGTATTCGCTAATAAGAAATGTCATTTAGGAAATGGATATGGCACACCCATTAATATTTCATCTACATCATCCTCTCTTTTTGATAATAGTCTTCAACAACAGAATCCATTAGGATTGGCTCGAAATTGGCAAGCTACACCAACAAATACACGTCGCGCAGGTCCTTTTCATCATCAACAATTATTACATCCATCGAATTCATCTACAAATATTAAAACATATCCCATGGCACCTACAACTGCTGTTACTGGAAATACACCAAATACCAGTATTATTAATCGAGCTAAACCATATACAATTCAAGGTCTTGTAGAAAATCTCAATGAAGTAAAGAGCTATCATTTATCTTTCATTTTGTTTTTTTAATTTATTGTCTTTCTATAGTTACTTGCTGAACTTGCTATTCCTCATTCTATGCGTTATGAAACAAAATATGGTTTTGAAGATATTCTTACTGTTCTCGATGTATATAATCTTTTGTTTTTTCTTAATTTTATCTATATAAATTTTTATTAAAAGCATCTATCAAATCCATCTCGTTGTGAAAATCAACGTTTTCAACCGTTTCCACCTGCACCTCAACCAAATAAACCCGGTGGAAAAGTTTCATTAACAGATCGTTGGGCATATTTAAAACATGTTTTATTAACATATCGTCTTTCAACAAATGAACAACTTACACGTATTAAACCTGAACGTACAATGTCAAATGAAAATATAATGATTATGATTGATTTATTAATTCAATTAATAAAATGTATTATTAAAAGTGATCATGAACAAGAACGTATATTAGGAAATAATTATTTAAGAGAATTTAAATTATTAATGCGTCAAATGTTTTGGATTGGTCGACATGATCCAGTTGTTATGGAAGAATCAATGTATGAATTAAGACATCATATTTATGCTAAAGATAATCTTGAAATAGTTGATAAATTAAAACATGAAAAACAAATGAATGATATGACAATTGAACGTGATCAACTTAAACAACAAGTAAAAATTTATACTTAAAAATTTTTTTTTTGTTTTTTTGTTTATTGAATATTATTATTGTTAAATATTTAGTATGAAATATTAAAAACAACTTATAATGAACTTGAAAATGAATGTACAATATTAACAACATCAAATGAAAATGATCTTATTGAATTTACAAAAAAACAAGAAGAAATATCAGATGAGCAAGCTAAATTAGTCGAATTGACACAAATTGTTGAACAAAAAGGTATAAAAATTTATTTTTATTTCCTAACAACAGAAAAAAAAAATCCTTTTTCTCATATCTATATCTATATGTATTTAGAAATGGATAAAAAACATTTAACTGATCGTAATCAATCATTATCAGATCGACTTTTTTCTCAACAAACAGATGCTGAATTACAGCATCATATTCGTTCAAATGGTGAACTTAAACAACAACATGAAGTTCTTCTTTCTACATTACTTCTTGAACAACAATTGCATTCAACAGCAACTAATGAACATAAACGACTTGTCAAAGAAGTAATCAACTAAAACTTTCATTCAGAATATATTAGTTTTAAATTTTTGATTCTCAAGAAGAAAGTCCTTCGACCGATAAATCGTTTTAGAGTCGAGACTATGTGCATTATGTAGACCGAAATGACCTGTGAGTATCTTGAAAAGAATTCGGAACTTTAGCTTACTACAGCGGAGACACTATACTTTTACCGGTTTCTTTAAATGGATGCCGCGGTAACAGAAGCACTTATTTTTGAATTTCGATTTGAAATTTTGCTTAGAGACAAGTCATAACGAGAATAGACTTTTTTTTAATGAATGTTTCAGATGTTGTCGTTGTTCCTATTGTAAGATACAACTATGGTAAATAGTATGTCTTTCATATTGCTCATATAAACCAGCGAATTTTATGATCACGTTTCAGAATAGAAGAAAATCAAAAGATCTGCAACTTTCACAATAAACTATTCTCGCTAAGTACTGTCTCTATGCAAAGTTTCAAGCCGACAATTCAAAAATCAGGTTTCCTATTCCCACAGAATTTATTTAAAAAATGAATTAATGTAAAAATCTCGAAAGATGTCCTCTCATTCTATTACGATTCAGTTAGTTACATGTAAACAGTCCTACCAATCGAAAATTTCTTGGGTCTACATGTGGATGAAGAGAAGAGCCACGCCATCACACTCATAACTACCGCCACCTCACGTATACGCCCTTGGAACAAGCAAATTAGCTTGCTCTATTCAATTTTTTACGATTTTTCTATTTTACCACTTCATCAAGCAATTAGTTTCGACTTAGAAGCGATTAATCAGTTGGAGAAACTCCTTCGTCAATCAATAAAACTTTTTCTGATAAGGACCGAGTCAATCGAAATTTTAATCTCGGATTCGATTAATTTACACGTTTTGATTTGGATTCATTGAAAGGAAAACTTTAGACACCAAATCAGTTAATACAAGTTATAAGACACAGATATATTTAGTAGAAATTCTTGCGTGTAATTAAAGCTCCGCCGTCAATGTTTTTAAATTTTTACTTTCTGTCGGAAGGAAAAAAAATCACAAGTTTAATGACTCACAAAATGCTTATCTATGTATGTGAATACTTTTGTACATAATGTAAACAAAGCGGAGGTATTGCAACTTCACATACTCTGTCAAACAAAAAAAAAATAATTGACAACGATGAAGTACCCTTGAAAACGCAATCAGATAAACATATCCACACCCAAAAAAGCTTATTTTTCAAACAGAAGTCGACGGAAATCATCAACAATTTTTGAAAAGAACTAATACAATCAGATCCATATTATTAATTCTTTTGGTTTTTTTTTCCTCCAATTACTTTAAAATATTTTTCGTTTTTAGTTACAAGAATCACTTGCTAAATATCAAATATTACTTAGTACATATAAACATAAAGCACCTCGACCACCACCATCTACTGTTGATTTTTGTTTAAGTGATATTATTGGTGACACAACATCAATTATAGATAATGATTCTGTAAAACAAGCACAAATAGCAATTGAAAATTTAACAAAAGAAATCAATGTACAAGAAATTTCACTTACACAACGTCATCGTGATCTTGAACAAGAATCAAAAAAAGTAATTGAACATTTTCTTAATTATTCTAGTAAATGAATATCAATTATTCTGTATAGAAAATTGACGAACTTCAATCAGCTGAACGTGAATGGAAATCAGCAGCTAAAAATGGTCAACGACGTGCAGCTCAACAAAATGAATTAAGTCGTTTTCAACAAGAAATTCGTTTAATACGAACAAAAATTCTTGAAATTGAACGACGAATTGATGAAAGAAAAACTTCAACAATTGAATTAAAAAAAGATTTCGAACAAGTATATGAAATTTCTTTCTAATAAATTAATTTTTGTCTTCTAATATTTAGATTAAATTAGGTATTATTGAAATATTATCACGTTTTGAATCCTTAGAAACAAATTATATTAATAAAGAAGAAGAACTTCGACGTGAATTATCATGGTTTATGTTAGATCAAATACAATTAGCAAAAACATTTCGACGTGATGTTGAAGAATTAAAACGTATGCAACAAGAACATATGTCAAAATTAGATATTCATTTAATAGCATCATCATTCGATGAACTTATTCAACAACAAATTAATAAATATTATCATTATAAACATTCTGAAGATGATGAAGAAGAAGAAGACGATGATGATGATTATTTTGATGAAAAACGAAAATTAATAAATGAATTTGATAATTTACATGAAGAACATATTATATGGTTAAAAAAGAAAAAAAAGAATGCAAAAATTACAATATCAATTGTTGAACGATTTCGTATGTTATATAATAAACTATGTTAGAATCATTTTTTATCATCTTTCATTTCTATTTTTAGAGGAACTCTATGACCATTTATACGTGCTTGATAAGAACTAAAATTTTATTTCTATGTCAAATATTTACATATTTTTATGCAACTTAATTTTTTTTAATTTTCTTAGTAATTTTGTCAGATAAAATGATCTTATTTCGCATATTTATAATATATCTAAAAGCATTGACTTCATTAAATTTTTCATTAGTTTTAGATTTTTTTTCTTATTTATATAAAGTATGACTGAATTAAACTTTGCAGTCGTAACAGGTATTGTTAGGATTTCTTTACTTTTACATAGTATATTTTTCCTGTACTACTATCATTTTTCAAAAATATAAACTATTTAACATTTGTCTAACAGTATAATTAAATCGAACATAAAATATAGTATTGATAATCGATAGTTTTTCTCAACACTAAAATATAATTTTCAAGATTGTTTTAATAATTGAATGAGTCAATCGAGCAAATAATTGAAAAATAAATATATTTTTATTTATTCCAGTGAGTACAACTTGTTATGATGATCCAATAAACGATCATTCAGGACCAGCACTTATTAAATATATGGCAGATAAATCAAATGAAAAGTATGTTACATGAGATTTTTGTTGTGATTGACAAACGAATATTCGAATGATCCAAAAGAAAAAAAATATCATTAACTAATGTATTATTTTATTCAGTATTCAATGGATACATCTAGCGTCTACAGTTGTCCCTGACAATCAGACTCATGTCAAGGCATGTAATTTTTCTTTTTTCTTATATAAAGGAATTCTTTATTTTAAATAATATCAAGTAGAAACTAAATTTTTTTATATAAATGATTATTTTCAATGCAATCCTTTTTTTTTTTTTTGTAATATCATATCAATTAGTTGATTTTGTTGATTTCATACGAAAATTATAAGCATATTGAGTAGTTCAATTTCATGCATATGATTAAGCATTATTTCAAATTAAGTTCAAATACGGTCTAAAACCGATTTCAACTAACAAGGCGACTTGATTGAAATTTTGTTGATCTTCATTTGAATGACCGAATCTATCGACAATATTTTGTGATGATATCTGTAGTCTATATTTATATCATAAAAATTCCACGATAATGAACATAGAGAATGATCGCCGAAACGAAACTCACGAATATAGGTGACCGAAAGGTATTCGGTGATGAGGAATACAATGAAGAAACTAATTGATCATAGGACGAAATGATACGCATTGCAAATCAGCTAAAATGATGCTAATTTAAAAAGTTAGTAATGTTTTCATGAAAATAAAAAAAACTCAATTGATGATTATTATGATTAAAAAAACATCATCAGCATTAGTAATTTGATTTTGATGTTGTCATTTGTCGCGGTAGAATGATTATAAAAGAAAATTTCATAAGAATCATACTTTGTTTTGAAATTCATTAGGTCAATTCAATGAACGTTATATCAGTGTTTTGAAGCTATTGAATAGCATCTTTCATTTTTTTTTTCATATACACTGGTATGCTATGTGAAAAATTAATCTATGGTTCATAAAAATTTCAACAAAATAAAATAAAAGCTATTATTTAAACATAATTTGTGATTGTTTTCTGACAGAATGAATGTCGTTTTTTAAAATAATAAATTTTTCATCTAGTTAGAAATAAAATATAAATATCTATGTTTGTATTTCTAGGAAACACTGCTGAAATTAACTGATGAATTACGACCACATTTAATATTGACAACTGGTGGAACAGGAATTAGTTCAGATGATGTCACACCAGAAGTATGTTATTTTATCTTTTTAACAGAATAATTTGTAAAGTGAAACTTGTTTCAAATAAAGATGAAAATTAAGAAACGATTTTCATCTATAACTAACGCTAAAACTAATATTTCTGAATGTGTTTAATTTCATTTGATTATACATCATTTCTTTTTATTTTATTTTTAAGGCGACACGTGAAATTATTACAAAAGAAATTCCTGGCATTGCACAAACAATGATCGCAAAATCATTAGCAATTACTCCAATGGCAATGCTTTCGAGGTAAGTACGATCGATTATAAAGATTTTCTTCTCTAATCTCATTGTGATATCAAGACCGGTGTGTGGTATTTATCAACAAACATTGATTATCAATTTACCCGGTAGTAGTAAAGGATGTGTAGTACGTACTAGTGTTAACTTCTTTATATGTGAATATATTCTATCTTTCTATTTTCTAAGGAATGTCTAGATTTTATTTATCCAATTTTAAAACATGCTATTGATATAATTCAAAATAAACGTAATGAAGTGGCTATTACACATTCTGATATGCAAACAAAAGTTAGTAGTTTGATTAATTCTGTACAATACGAATAATACTGACAAATTTATTTCGTTTTTAGACGAATAGAAAACATCATTCCTGTGGTGGTGATCATCATCATCATCATCATGGTATGATTATACACATGTTTGATATTTTACAAATCAAATTTATGAATTTCAGTTGAAACAAGTAATAAAGGTGAACGATTACGACATTCTCCATATCCGATGATATCTGTTGATGATGCAATGAATATTATATTTGAACAAACTAATAAAATGTCAATAATTGATAAGCCTCTAACTGGTAAATATATTCAATATTATCAATAGAAATTTTATTATAACACTTAGAATTCAATGTTTCAAATTAATTAATAATAATCTATTGTAGAATGTTTGAGTTATGTATGTGCTGAAGACATATTTGCTAAGGAACCATTTCCACCTTTTCGAGCATCTATTAAAGATGGTTATGCTGTTCATTTATATTCCGATCGATCTCATGAACAAATCTATGAAGTTGTTGGACGTTCAGATGCTGGAGGAGAAAATGTAGATTCCTTTGTTTTGTTTATTCATATTCTATAATATATTCTTTTTTTAGATTAGCATTCCACTTATGGAAGGTCAATGTGTAGTCATCAATACGGGTGCTAAATTACCTGATTCGGCTAATGCTGTTATTCAAATTGAAGATACACAAATTCATGAACGTCATCCGACAAAAAAAGATGGCTTAGATGAAAAGAGTATTCATATAAATACTGAGTGTTCAATTAATCAAGATATTAGGTGCGTATTTGAATTACAAAGATCATTCAAAAAGTTCCGAGATTGTTTTTAGTTAAAAACAACAAGAATTATTGCTGTATTAGTATTGTTGTCTCTGTGTAATTCATACAGTCCACGATCTATACATGTCATGAGCTCTGATCAATTAAGTATTCATATCCGAATACTTCCAATGCACTTCATATTGATAAAATATTTTAAAATTTGAGCATCCTTCAGTGATAAACATTTTAGCACTGAAAGATCAATCCTTATCCAATATTCATGAACTCATGATGGCTGTTTAGGTTAACTGACACTCCATCATATACGATTATTTCTAAATGGAATTGTATTTTTTTAAAGATAGACAATTAAATATTGACGATCATCCTTAAACTTGACGACACGAATATTAAAACAGTTAACAGCTTAGTCATCGAAAATCCTCAAATCACAATTCTGTAAATAGCGAACACTTTCAACATTTCAAATGATTGGTAAATGACGTTTTACATATGATTGAACTCTGTTTAAGATGAATGTCACACTCGATAGCACCTGAAAAACTATACATTGTTCATATATCAATTCTTGCGTATCTATCTTTAAAAAAATACAATTCCATGTAGAAATAATCGTATATGATGGAGTGTCGGTTAACCTAAACAGCCATCATGAGTTCATGAATATTGGATAAGGATTGATCTTTCAGTGCTAAAATGTTTATCACTGAAGGATGCTCAAATTTTAAAATATTTTATCAATATGAAGTGCATTGGAAGTATTNTTTATCACTGAAGGATGCTCAAGTTTTTGGTTTTCTATTAGTGCAAAAAAGTATTGGTCTATTCAGATATAGATGTCTAACCGATAAGAGTTCGTAACATCTATAGATCGAAGACTGTATGAATTACGTACAAACAATAATACTAATACATCAGTACTTCTTGCTGTTTGTGAATGAAATCAGTCTCGGAACTATTTGCATGATTCTCATCAAATTTGCAAGAAAAAAAGATCTTCGGCGTATGTATTCTTTATAGAAACATTGGCGATGATGTTCATATTGGTGAACTTGTTCTAGAAAAAAATATTCCGTTAGGACCTGCAGAATTAGGTCTACTTGCTACAGTTGGTTTACGAACAGTACGTGTTTATAATAAACCACATGTTGTCGTTCTTTCAACTGGCAATGAAGTTCGTTTAGAAGATTAATATTTAATATTTGCCTATTTTAATAATTTATAGTTAATGCCAATTGATGCTTCATCAACTGATAATGGAAAAATTCGTGATAGTAATAAAATTATGCTTATGAGTGCATTACAAGATTTAAACATACAATATGTTGTTGATGGTGGCACAGCAAAAGATGAGTTCGTATTTATTTTCATGATGAAATTTGAACATTTTGTGAAATACGATCAACAAAGAGTGTTGAAGTATATGCGTCGAAATTTGGGCACCCCACAGGCGTGCGTGATAGAGACATGTCAAAAACGGCTTATCCTGGATGTGACAGGCATAAACATGAGATTAAAGTCTGTTGGAGAATTAGTATGAGAGTTCTCTACGTTTTTTTTCACACCCACTGCAATAAATTACAACTAATATCTTCATTAATAGTAGGTAGGAGTTTATAAGCCAAAACATATATTGATTAATTGCGTCTTTTAAAATACTAGCAGCTTCACCGTATTTCACATTTTATACCTTCAGGGATTACGCTAATAGATTTTATTATCATATTATAGTGAAACATCGGTTATTCAAACATTACAATCAGCTTTCGAATTAGCTGATATAGTTATTTCAACAGGTGGTGTTTCTATGGGTGATAAAGTATGGAGAGAATAAAAAAACAAGGATAAATTTTTAAATAAAATCTTATAGGATCTTATTAAATCAATATTAACAGAACAATTTAATGCTACGATTCATTTTGGTCGTTTACAGATGAAACCGGGTAAACCAACGACATTTGCTACATGTGAAGTCAATGGAAAGAAAAAGCTATTCTTTGGTTTACCAGGTTATTAAAAAAACAAGAATATTTTCATATCTATTTGATTTTCTGATATTTACAGGTAATCCTGTATCAGCTTTAGTCTCTTATTGGTTATTTGTTGTTCCTACACTTAAACGTATGATAGGACATATACAACCTCATCATCCAATAATTCGCGTTCAGGTATAATTTAATTAACATAAAAATAAAACAGAACATAAATTTTACAAAAGCAATTGCTTTTATTTTTTTGTTCGATTATTTAGCTTAATCAGCCTATTGAATATCTTGATCCACGACCAGAATATATACGTGTAATCATTGAATGGTCAACAAAGTCTTCAATTCCAATAGCTCGTATTGTTTCACCTGATAATCAATGTAGTTCACGTTTACTTAGTGCTCGACGTTGTACAGGTTTAGTACGTTTACCAAGCAAAACTGATGTTAATCCATCATTTTTTAATATTAATCAAGATGGTCTTGGTCAACAAGTCGATTGTTTGCTTTTGTCATTGTAATTGATATTTAAAAGAAAATTAAAGAACAAAATAAAAGAGAGAAAAAAAATGTTTTTGTTTTCTTTTTTTGTTTTTGAACAATCATTTGATAGTTCTTAAGATCGGAATCCACCGACCAAAAATGATAAATAAGCTGATAATGCATTTGCATTAAGCATATTCATATTAACTATATTATTTGGATTTATTAAAGCATTATTATTGACATTATAAAGATTAGAATTTGTATTTGTATTCGAAAGTTTTAATCCAAGTGGAAGACGTGTTGTTGTGGTTGTTGGAAATTTATTTGTATTAAGACACATTGATGATATTCGTTGATTATTATTTGATGATATGGTTGAAATTTTTAAACCCATAGCTTTTTTTATATTTTCTTCGAATAAAATTGTACCTTTTGCTTTTGATAAATGTGTCGAATCTTCAAAACAACCACGTATATCATGTGAAATATTTGGATGAGAAATAATAAATACTTTTAATTCAGGTGATGCCATAGCTAAGATAAAATAAAATAAAAAATAAATAAAATAAGTTTATTTAATTAACCTTGTAATAAATAATTTAATTTTTCAGTTTTTATTCGACTTTCATCATTTGATTGTCGAGGAAAAATAAGTGAAATATAAACTTCTGATTGTGGACTAAAAGTTTTTGTTGTTACAATTAATTCTTTGATTTGTTCACTAACTTCTTGTTCACTTAATTTATCACGATTAAGATCATTTGCACCAATATGAAACATTCTTTATTATTGAAATAAATATGTAAGAATAAATTAATTTACGAAGTACGACTTACATTTTTTTCGTACCAATAAAACGGGTTGTTTGAATAAATTCAAGAGCTTGTGCTACTCGTTTACCACGCTAGAAAAAACCCACCCAACCGATTTTATTCTTAATGAATCGGATATATTTTATTAATGTAAAGAAGAGATTAAAAATTTAGAAACGAAGTCTTTTTTTAACTTTTTTTCCTGACAGTAATAGCTAAAACTAATCAGAGAAAATGTTTTCGTAACGAAAACAGTTTCCTATTAGAAGAAGTACTTGTCAAATTCTTGCTCAAAGATCACTGAAAAACTAAGACTCTCAAAACCAGTTTTCTGGATTTTATCAAAAACGTTTTGCAAACAAGTCCCTCTAATCGAGAAAATATTTCTCCATAAAATAAGATGTCCTCAAGCTCTTGACAATCTATCTTTGGGGAATCACACTCATTTCCCGAAAGGTTATAATGTGTAAAACTTAGTAAATTTATATAAATTTTAAAAACACAGTCTTTCGTAGCATGAGTGTAGTTCACTGAATTTATTCAGAAATGTTTATTCTATCAAATGAGTTTATTTGCAAAACATTAGAATCCAGAAAATTATTGTTGGAAGTCTTGAATATCCAACGATCTTTCACTCTAGCTTGTCAATTGGAAATAGTCATTACTTTTCCTGATAGGAAATAATTTCAGTTGATTAAATCTTGTCTTCAATTTGTTCCATATGTTACTGTTGTCAAGAATAATTCGTTTCTAAACTTTTTGCTTCTACCAACTTATAATCAAAAGATAAAATTTTTCGAAAGAAAAATTTAATTGCAATACCGCTTTGTATTTACCATTGTTTTAATATATGTTTTTCTTTCGATATCAAATCGAGCTGGATCAAGATATTTTAATGTTGAATCACCAATGAGAACATTTTCAAATGTTAATGTTCGTTCTGCACGATATTTTAATGCATTATTCATTGATTGTTGATTATTATCAAGATTTTTAATTGTTCGTCCATTTAAATTATTACTATCGAGTATAATATGATTATTATTTTGAGCCATTGTATAATTACATGTTGAACTATTTGATGATAAATCTAAAAACATAAAAATTAAACTACGAATTATTTCTCTATTTGAATTATTTAATTAATATATTAATTACCAATATTCTCATTATTTGTTGTTGTTAAATCTATTTGTGTTGTTGATTTAATATTATCATTTGTAATTAATGAATTAATTTTTGATGATGTTAATTGTTCTGATATAGCTATTTCACTTAATCGTCGTTGAACATATTCACAAATTTTTGATTCCATTGTATTTTCTAGATTAAGTACTTCATATATAAGAAGAGTTAATTGTTGTCTAAGTTTGGAACAGTTTTCACATTGATTTGTATTATTTATTGTTGAATCACCGCCTCCATAAGATTGATGATTAGTAACACATGAATCACCTGTAGCTGTTATTAATGGATCTTGAATAACATTAGCTAAAGCAGCATGAACAGCTTGACTAAGTGAAGATGTTCCGGATGAAGATGACAAGTCTGTAATTACAAAAAAACCAAAGATGTTTTTTTTCGCTTTAGTTGCAAGAGAAAAAACGATTTAAAATTTAGAACTAGTTGCAAATTATTATATTTTTTTGTTGATATATATACAGTAGAACCTTTCCTAAATGAATAAATATTCAAGATTGAAAGATGTTTTATATTTTACTATGAAATGAAAAAAAGACTTTGAAATATAAGCTTCTTTACTAGTTTTGAAGTAATTATAGAGATCATTCTTTTGGGTATTCTCATTTTTCTTCAGTTGAATATTAATGAACACAAAAGCTTCTCAACAGAATAGTAAACCTTGATTTATTTTACAAAGTCCTATATTTATTGTTTTGGTTCGAATAGTCATTTAAATATTCTATTTTTTTTTGAATTTTGGATACAGAACAAGGTCATATATTTGATTTTTTTCAGCTAATTTACATTGTGATGAACCATTACCACTATTGCTATTATTAAATAATGTGAGATGGTGTTGTCATGTCATTGCTTTCTTAGACATGCACATTAATAATAAATCAAGAACAGCAGTGTCATTGCATTAGTCAGAAATGATAAAGATGAGAGCGAGAAAAAAAGTGCGCGTATATTCATTTAAAAGAATTTAAAATAGGAATCGGGAATGTAAAAACAATGTTGAAGTGTGGAATAGGGAGGTGTTCACTAACAGATGTTTCGCTGTATTGTGACAACATTCATAGAAAATCGTGACTTGAGAAAACATTCAAACCTGTATTATTACATAACACATGATGCAAAAAGGATATTAGTATTTGAATGTGAATCTTCTTTTTTTTTTGCAGTCACAAACAATTAGTTTTTCATTCATACAACTATTCAACTAACGAGGGAATTTGTTCAACTAATAAATCATTGGAGTTGAAACCATGCACATTATGAGACATTTAATGAGCTATAAATATCTTGAAAAGAGTTCGCATTCTTAGCTTATTGTTGCTAAGATACTGCTCTTTTATGGTAGTTTTTAAATGAATGTCATGTTGTAGAAAACCTGATTTTTGAACTCTATCCAAAGACAATCTCCAAAACTAAGGATTGAAAGTCTTTTCAGGACATTTAAAACTCATTTGGAATTACATTATGCATATAGTCCTAATTCAAAAGCGGATTAATCTGTTGAAAGGCTTTCTTTGAAGAATATTTTCTAATTTTACCTCGATGTTCTGTTAATAATTTTTTAGTTAAATTTGAATCAGTCTGTTGCTGATGTTCATTATTTGATTTTATAGTTGCAAATGCATTTTGATTTTGATTTAAATTATTATTATTATTATTATCTTCTGATGAATTAAGTATCGTAGACATAATCGTTATATTCGATCGTTCGAAAGGAGATAAAGATTAATGATAAATTTATATATATATATTATTCGTACCGATATTAGAATATGAATAGAAGAGAATAATGGTAATTTGTATCGAATATTTACTTTTAATTTGTTAAGATAGACCGAGATAGACTCGCATAGAACAGAATGAATTATAGAATGTTTAACGCGCAATTTTTAATTAGTTTTTATTTTACTATAAAAAAGAAAGAAAAGAAAAACAACAACAATAAGAACAAGAATAATATTTACAACGAAGCTGATTTAGTATGATTAAAAAATTCTATGGAATTTGAAGATCGTTTCTGTTTTCTACTTTGATTATCAGAAAAAGATTTTACAATTGGTGTTAAATGTATTCGACCATTTTGAGAACTTTTATATGTTGAAATAATTTCAAATGTTACAGATTGATTTAAAGTCTTTTGACCACGTTTTCTTATTGTAAATTTTGAAAATGCTATTGCCGATTGATGAAGTTCAAGTTTTTGACAGAAACAAAATGTTTGCTTAAATGTGTCACGAAATGCTTGTGACATTAAACAATAAAGAATAAAATTAACTGAATTATTTATTAAAGCTAATATATCAAATGTATCACCTAAAAGGAAAAAAAAAATTTCTTTTTTTTATTTGCATGAAAGAAAAAAAAACCTATTTTACCGAGATATTGATAAATTTGAAAATAATAATTTGCATTATTTTTTGATAATAATGTTAATAATAGCATTGCACCTTGTGGTAATTCTGTAATAAGAAATAAAGCACAAACAATAACTAACATTAATGTTGTACGACGATTTTCTTTTTCACGTTTTCGACTACGTAAACGTCTATGACTTTTGGATTTAATTGTTTTTGTTAGTGAATGTCTTTCTAATAGTTGGGATTTTTCTAATGCATTACGTAATTGCTGTATTAATAAGAAACTAAATAAAAGTATAAATATACATGGAACTAATTTAAATATAACACCATGTAATACAAATACAGTGGCACGTAATGATACTGATTGACTAAATTGTGTTTCTTCAAAATGATAAGTGGCTGGTGTGGAATAATTTGATGTTGAATTAGTAGCATTATAGTCTTGAACAATGTGATATTCCATATAAGATGGAATACAAAGAATTGTTGTTAATATAGCAACAATAATAACACCAATAAAGGCACGATCTGGTGATGATACATAAGCAGTTAAAGTTTTACAACTGAGAAATACGTAACGAAAAGCAGCAAGATATACAGTTAACCTAAATAGAAAAATTCATTTTGAAATTTATGTCTATGATATACTCTATTATAAAATACTAAAGTTGATAAAGACCTTCAAAATTACTTTTTTCTTTAATTACATTAGTTAATGTTACAAAATCTAGTCATCTTTTGATATTTTAACTAATAGTTGATATAACTCCTGGATGACATCTCGAAAAAATACACTAGTATTGAAAATTGTTTCTTATATAAGTTTTGAACTGTTTACATTTCCAATGAAAGTTGAATTTTTTAAAATTATTTTTATTTTCTATAGTTTATAATATCTGTTTTTTTTATTCAGCTTTAAAGCTATATCATAAAGTTATCTATAATCAATGCTATACTTAAAATTACAAATTCTATTTCTTTTTTAGATATATTTGTTGATAATTGAAAAATATTTATATAAGAAAAACATTTAAATCTATAAATAATTAATTGCAAGGTTGATTCAATGTAAGATTTCATTTGATTACTTCCCAATCAACCGCATGTACCTGCACAATTCTTCCACATGACATATATGTGAATGCGCGATAGGGCACGTAGAACCTTGCACATACATGCTCATTATATTGTCATGTCCGAAAGTCTACAAATATCTTTTGTAAAAAAAAAAACTCTCGCATCCACATGCAAGAATTCTCACAAAAACACAAAAGATATGTAATAATCATGTCTGAATATGTTGTTATGTTTGATTTTCTGATAAACAATTTAAACATATTTTATTATGCAAAATGAACTTCTCCACAAATCGATCATCTTCTTATACTAATAATCATTTCATAACGATCGAACACATATTTACATGAATCTTCATATCTATTAGAAAAAAATGAACAAATTTTTCAGTCAATCTAGTAAGTTTGTTGAAGATGAAGTTAATTTTTAAGGTGACATGTATAATCATACTTTGAAAAGAAACCTATATTCTTTTCATGTGAAAACATGCAGATTATAAGATAGCATAAACGTGCGTGTCGATGTAGAATCATTTTAATAAAAGCATTCATAAGTAACACATTTTTTTCTATGGACCTGCAGATCTTAGTAAAGTTCTGGTCATCAAACAAATATTTTGACATTCACATTTGAGTCAATATGTCTTGCATGAATACGCAAAACGATTACATGAGAATGCTTGCAGGATTGTATATTTCATATATTTTAATTCAAAAATGTAAAAGGAAAAAAAGAATGATGTTTTCATGCGTAGGCTTGTGACACGCATATTATTGCATGTATTATTGTCTTACATTTATATACAAAAATTATAAATATTAAAAATAACTTGCTTGTTTATATCTAATACATAACGAGTTAAAAATTATTTTGAAAATGCACGGAAGAATTTCTGATAATTTTCCGCAAAGAGACACATTTTTTTTCAAGGCTTTATGTTTGACAACGTATCATTATGAATAAACAATAATTTGGATGTAAAAGCTTTTCATCATGAAGTTGCATGATTAAATATATATATATCAAAGAGTTTCCTTTTCTTATTATATAAGCTCAAATGGCTACGATCAAAAAGAAAAAGAATACATGCAACTATCTCTTGTTGTTGTTGCCCTCTTTCAAATAATCTTAAAATGACATGTACCTCTAAATTGTAGTCAGTACATTTTCAAACTAATAAATCAATATTTTGGAAAGATAGTCTTGTTTTTTTTTCTATTCTTACCATGTACTGATACAATGTAATGTTAATGTACATAATATTTGTATCATATAAAATTTAAATTGAAAATATGATTTTTCATCAGGAGTACTTTTAGATTCTTTTTTTGGTAGACAATAAAAAAGAATAGCTGCTGGTAAAACAAATAACATTTTAAGTAAATCTGATAAAGCTAATGATGTTAATATAGTATTTGTTGATGAACGCATCAATGGACGAGTTAAAACAATAATATTAAATAAATTACATGTTAAACCGAATATACATACAGCACTCGATATAAAACCATGATAATTACGATAAAGTAGTCTATAGCGATCAAGTGAACTATTATTATCGACATAATCGAATGGAGGATTATCATTAATATCTGATGATACAGTTGTTAGTGTTAGATTAAACATTAATTCTTGAACTATAGTTGTAGTTGAATATATATCTGATCGATTTTGTAAATTTGATTGTAGTAATGCTGGCGAACGAGACGACATTACATCAAAAAAAGATTCATTCCATAAAGCTAAAACACATATAATATGATAATAGATTCCATTTATCTATTTACGAATTAAGAGAAGGTATCTACACACATCCATAATTTTTCTCAGAAAAGGGCATAATGTAATGGCGGTTCAGTAATAGTGTAGAAACTGTTAATCTGTCTTTTTTTCTAACACATTCTTTTGCTTTCTCTCTCTCTCTTACTATCTTTCTATGGCATAACAGAACTTTGATCGACAGAAGTAATGTGAAGTACGGTAATATTAGCATACACTGGAAAAAAAAGTTCTCTGTTTACGTGATTCTCTTGTACATTGTTTATCGTAGACTTAACATTCCTTGACAGATCACATTCGTAATCTACTATAAACAATGTCGATAATATATTAACTTTCAATGTAGAACAAGAGACGCCGTTAAGTATGAAAAAGAAAATGATTATGAAAACATTCATTCTTTCTTTTTACTACTCAACTAAATTTTCAACTAGATCTAATAAATAGAAAGATAGTTCATTGAAACAGAATGGTATCAGTACAAACACTAGTCTATCATTAATAATGACCTGTTGAACAAAATATTCAAAAGAAAAATCAAGAGATTAATAATTACATTTTCGTCAATGCTACTTATGAAATATGTTCTCTCAAAAAAAAGAGGAAATTTGAATTATTCTATTTAATAATAAAGTACAATATCCATACCATTTTTTTTTGAATATATCGCTTTTTTTCTTTATCATACAATGTGTAACACCATTATGAGCTTATTGGAGTGAAAATAAATGCGAACAAAACTCTATTTGTATTATGGTTATTATTCTTATCATGCTTGCGATCGCTCTGTGAGAAGAATATTAAGCTGCTTGACAATAGAAAACACATTCTTAGTTTATCGTTGTCACGCACATAGTTCGGATATTTTAAGAGCGAATACGTAAGTTTGAGAAATATCTTTTTCATCGATCAAATTACTAATTTGAATAGATAAAAAATTGCTAAGGATGTTGAAAAAAAGTCAAATAGAAATACGTAAAAACTAGATATTCTTGCCCATTGATTAGTTCTTGTTCAACCAAAAATGAGAGCACTCAAAAAATAAAGCGTTAAATCAATAAAATTGCCAAGGAAATGAGTTTGGTTGAGGGTAAACTGGTTTTACTTTTTTCTTTTTAAACCTCATTCACTTCCGTGCAAAGGCAAAACAGAAAAAATCTACAGAAAGGTACAATGTAATACAGATAGTTCGTACTTATTATTATTAGTAGTAAAAATAATAAATACATATTAATTTATTGAAACTAATATTACTCTCTAGTTTAGCTAATTAAAAAGTAATTTAATTAGCTGAGATACATTTGTTTGTTTTTTCTTGATGCCTTGTATTACAGCAACCCATGCAAAACAAAGATGAAGCCAAGATTCTTTTCTACATAATAATGCATTCATAAAAACAAACGACCCGAAACCTTGCATCGATGCTTCGAAAAGAAGAACACAAAGAACTTTATAGCTCGAAGCTTTCTATTTGTACCTTGGAATCTTCTATTTATCTTCAATTCTTTTTATAAAAGTATATTCATGTCTTACTGATAATAAGCATTTGATTACACAGTATATAAAAAATTTCACTGCTTCTTTCCATGGTAGACAAACCAAACGGAAGAAGAATATGATGCATGATTAAGTAAACGAGAGAAAATCCATTAAGACTACTAAAAATATTTTTCTTCTCTTGATCTATCTCTTTCTTAACAAACGTTTCAGGAGAGCATATAGAAAAGATGTTTGCTATATGTATTGATCAGAAACTATTATTATATAATTACCTTGAACAAGTTTTCTTGCCTTTCAACACTATTTTTTACAAATGAATTCTTTTTCTTTTTCTATAGAAAAAAAAATCTGCTTTTCTATTTTTAAAATCTACTCATACTTCAGTTGTCTCTTCACTAGAGGGTTGCTTCAACATAAATTGAAAAAATTCAATTAGACATTAAGATATCTGTCAGATTAACCTCAATATATCAAATTTTTTTTTTTGTTTGGTATTTTTTAAATGAAATAATAAACAATTAATTTACTTCTATAGAAATCGATTTTAAAATATTTTTCTAGTAACATAATATGTTATGTTATTTTTTATCTAACTATTCAACTATTTAAAATGATCATATTAATAAATAATTGTTTTTGAATACAATGACGTGTTATATCCGTCTTAGGAATTATCTAATTTCTTTTTTATTTCGCATACTTTTCATTATATAAGTGACACCAAAAATTCTTGTAAAATGTTGTGAAGAATATAAATATAATAGTAATGAAAGTATTCAACTTAATAAATAAGAAACATTTTGTTTTTATTTAACAGCTCTTTCATACTCCTACTTTCAGATTTATACTTATTTAGTTCAAAGAGTTCGAGTTTTGTATGAAGTGCATAAATATTAAAAGAAAGTAGGTAGGGAGTTCTCAATGTAAAACATTTCCGAAATGAGATTCAATGTTTTAACAGTTCTTCTCGCAACAATATGATAATATAGTTTTCTTTTTAAACTATTAACAACATCATTTTATATTTTAGTCTTTCAATCTCATTATTAAATAAACTCGAAAAATCGTATGCATAACTAAATTCAAAGCATAGATAAGCTTAATGGAAGAAACTATATGATATCTTTATTTTAACAATGAATGTTTGATTGACATTTGTGTTTACTTTTCAGTTGAAAAATAAATTGAAGCGAGTTATGAATAGGCATATAATTTTATTTTATGTTATTCAAGGCGTCTTTCTTGTTTTAGAACAGCTTGAACCTGTTTTCTATACTGATAAAAAATTAACACTTACTGAGAATAGAACAATATAGTCGTAGATTAAAATTTAATTACTAATGAACAATTTATATGTTAGTTTTGCTGCTTATAGAAATTGCATTTAAGTGAAGGGATAAAAAATATATTTCAGTACAGTATAAAAAAACATCCAAGTTTCAATTGAGAGCAGTATCAAAACTACTTCATCTCATTTCAACGCAACATGAAGAGACCGTATAGATAAAAAAAAACTGATAGGTTTTCTTAATGAGTGAAAGAAAAAAATTAAAAGACATTTGTTATATTGTACGAGCTTAATATTCGAGATGTTCGAATATAGTATGTATATGTTAAACAAAATAATCTTTTAATATATTTCAAGACGATTTAATAGATACAACGAGACGAAAGCGACCAATATACAAATAAAAGTAAATGAATTAGAATATATTGAGGAATTACTTCAAAAATTTTTTATTTATTTTACGGATGTTTTGACAGTAAAAATTTTCTATTTTATTTAAGTTTAATAAGTAACTTTTTCCTTTTTTATTTATAAGATATTAGTTCGTATGAAATTTCACTATAAGTATCATTATAACAGATGGCGTATAAAGAATGATTCTGTCAGTATTTTGTGAATATTTTTCTCACATTTTGAACTTTTTTTCAAAATATAGTTCATAAAATTTTCTGCGTAATGAAAATGAGTGTGCAAAGAATAACTAGGAAACTATATCCAGTCAGTAATGCTTTATTCGAAAAAGAAAACGTCAATCGCACACACCATTGTTTTTACAAAATTTATGAACTATTTCCCTTTCGTATTACTAAACGAATTCCAAACCGTTCCAAAGAAAATATCCTTTGTTTTCAAGTGTTACTTTTTGAGAAAAACTCAAGAAAGTCCTTTCAATCAGTCTATGAGGTTTCTATAGTCAATATTCTTCATAAACAAGTTCAAAAGGATGATAGTTCTTTTTAGTCGAACCACTTATGATAGACAAGAGCTTTTATAACAGCTCACTTGAAACTAATTTCATAGAAGAATACTTTTTCTGCCATATGGAAATAAATATGAATCTATACGAAATTGATTACTTCACCTAATTAGATCAAAATTTTGATGAACCTTTACCGATGACCCTTGGAAACGTGAATAAGCGAGGACAAACAAAATCTTGTATACTAAGAGATCTATGGTGAATCCCAAAAAGTATTCGGTTAACAGGTACGCCACTGGAATTGTTCCCCTAAGCATACGCTCGAATCTCATCAATTTATAGTAAATACCTTCAATGGTACATCGATGTAATAAAAAAAATCGGTAACCTATTCACTGAGTTCTAAGCTAACGAAGGTCAAAGTTGATTAAAAATTTTAGGTAGAGAAGCTTTTTTTAAAACTTTTAGTGTTTCCTATGAATGCTAGATCTAATTAATTCTAGTGTAGTTTTGTAGACAAATATTTGTAGAAATGATTCCATGGAAAAACATATTAAGGATGACATTTTTATATGTCTTCTTTAAATATTAATTAGTGATACTCTAGTGTAAACAAGTAAATTTTCCTAATGTCAGAACACAATAGAAAACGTCGTGCAATATATCACGTGACTTCCATTATTGAAAAATAAAAATTCGATATCATGAAAAGTATGCTTTAGCTATTGTATTTCTATTCACCATCAAAATAGATATGGCTATCGAAATCAGCATAAAAAAAGCTAAGTCATATCATTTATTTTTAACATAAAAAAAATTCTTTCCCCAAAACCGCATGCCGGAAGAATCACAGACGAAATTATTTTAGAAAGGCTAAAGGGGAATATAGACGTATTTTTGATAAAAAACAATCTAGCCTAAAAAATATATTATCCCACTCAGTTTTTTATGTTGATTCCGATTATCATCTCCATTTTGACCGTAAATAGGAATATTATCATCAAATACGAGCCGATTTTGTATCATATTGTCTATAATATGGAACTTTTTTTCAAGATGTTCTGACATTCCTTTTTACATTAGAGCGTCACTAATTAGTAATTAAATGGCAAATACATAGGAAGTCATACTAAATATGGTTTTTGTATGAAATTATGTCTATAAATAATTGTCTACAAAACTACCCCGGAATCTAACAAATCTAACATTTATATGAAGTCTTAAAAA